AGTAGTAGTAGTAGTAGTATTTGTAGTAGTTGTAGTAGTAGTAGTAGTAGTAGTAGTAGTAGTAGTTGTAGTACTAGTAGTAGTAGTAGTAGTAGTAGTTGTTGTTGTTGTTGTTGTTGTTGTTGTTGTCTTCGTTGTTGGTTTTGTTCTTCTTCTTCTGCTTCTCCATATTCTTGTTGTTGGCGGTTGTGGTGGCTTTGGTGGTGGCGGTTTGACTACCCTAGGTTTCTGTTCTCATTCTCCCCTTGTCTCAGATCAACCAAGACATCAAGCACTCACTGAACGGATGTCGGGGTGTCGGGTTCTGCTGACAGGAGGATTACACAAGAACTGATCGTTTGACGAACTGGCAGTTGTCTTGTGCCGGAAACGTGTCTGCTGCAGGGACCTTTTTTGAAGCTCAAGCAGGGCTCACTCCTCATTTTCCTGGTGAGATGACATGCTTAGAGGAGGAGCAAGGGCAGTCCGATGACTTGAACTCCAAGGACGGCAAGAGCCCCGACGAGGGCCAGAACGACGAGAAAGATCCGACCGTGGAGAACAACATCAAAGCCGCAGAGGTGGATGAGATCAAGAGTTTCAAGTGCAAAGAGAAGGAGTGATCGGGTACCTTCGTTTTCAAAGTCAGGTTATAGACCGTTCCTGCTAGAGCTATCCCCCGTGCATGTTCGACTTGTCTCCATACGCGCCGTTATACAAAATTCAGACCTTTTGCCCCAACTGTTGCAGGAGCAAAGGGACGACGAAGCCAGCACCGTGGAGAGCGAGCGCATCTATGAGGCCAGGACAAACCACAACTTACCGCCTACTCCTCATAACCCACACCGGGCACGGGCACAGGCTCGCACAAGGTGCACAAGCAAACTCAGACGCGCATGGACATGCACATGCACATGCATCGACATTATGAGATACTTGTACGCTCCTGTGACGTAGTGACGTAGTAAGTACGGCTTGTAAGATGGGTTATACTTATAGAGGTTCTTTTGAGGGGTGGGCGGGCGGGGAAATGGGGATATGATTTTGCGTTGTCAAGTCCAGGAGCACTCAAGCGAAGACAGGAAGTTGGAAGAGTGGTATCACCTAACCCTTAAGCCTTAAGCCTAGAACTGCTGGACCAGTAGCATTGTAGCATGATACCTCGCTTTCTATGCGAGTTTTGCGGTCCACGGGATTAGGCTGCACAAAAGTCTGAAAGACATGAACCAGGAAAACACCAACAACAATATGTGCTGGACCCCATGAACCTTGTAACACTTGTACAATGCCGTAAAGGGCCGCATGGGGCCCTACATACCGTATGAAATGCCATGCAACCTGACAAAGCACCTTATGTAACCCTCATGCCACAGTCAAGCCCTTTACACTTTAGACCCCGCAAAGGGGAGGTCACCGAAACCCCAAACCCTAGACCTAGACCTAAACCCTCAACGGGCCGCAAAAAAAAGGGTCATCCATACCCCTAAACACTGTAAATCCTATATTCCCTACAAGCCCTGCCAGCCCTACAAGCCGTCCTAAGCCCTGCAAGCCCTCTATTATAGGGACCTCTTTAACCTGGAGGTCCCCTAAACCCCAAACCCTAAACCCTAAACCCCAAGCCCTAGATCCTAAACTAAATCCTACACCCTAACCTCTAAACCGCTGTAAAGACCCTTAGTGTAGGGCCTTCATAATTAGAACAGGGTTTTGGGGGTTCCGTATTACAATTACAACATGCTATGCCCCCAAACCCTATTCTAATTATAAAGGCCCCTATATCAAACCCTAAACCCTAAACCCCTAAACCCTAAACCCTAAAACCCTAAACCTCAACCCTAAACTACATCCTACGCCCTAACCTCTAAACCGCTGTAAAGACCCCTAAACCCTCAGTTCTCCAAAACCCAACCTTTAAACTTTTTTGGTTCTTACAAATTAGTAGTACTGGTTTAGGGTTTGGGGTTTAGGGTTTAGGGTCTAGGGTCTTAAAGTTTAGCCTTTTATTTCCCTGGCTTATGAGGGAA